AGTATGAGTAGATAGTAGTGAACTATATGATAAAGACCATGGCCAGTTAAGTTTCCAATATATTGTTTCTATCTTTTAATTAAAGAGTGCTGGCTATAATCCCATAATATATGAATATTTCTGTCTGTGATTTATTAAATTCATGAAACCCTTTACTGTTTGAAAGCCAAAGCTTTGGTGTTACCACTGCATTAGCTTTTGGCCTTGTACAGTAAGGAATGTCATGACTGTCCAAGTCAGACACTGCTTTCATGTTATTCAGTGTGCACAGCAGGGCCAGCAGTGAGGACCACATAGAATCTACTGCTTTGGGCGAAACTGTAAATTGAACACTGGACATTTGCTGCCAGTAGGAGGAAGAAGAATGAGCAAAGCAATAATCTTATCAGCGTGGTGATGCTTGTATACTGTCCACTCAGCAGGACTGGGAAGGTCAATGATCAAGCTGTAATGCTTAAAGTGTATATACAGTAAACCCTAAGAATGTAATTCTCCTATTTGCTCCCTTTAGGTCTTCTTAATATATTATTGGCAGCATTTTGTTACATCTGTTTAATACATTCAAAAAGACCTGTTAATCTTGTCAGACATTCCTAACTGTCCTGTGTCCTTTGCATGCTTCATGTGTTATCTCTATTAGCTTTTTATGTTCATATTATTTGGAAAAACATTATCGATAGGTATCACATCCTATTTTATATAGAAACCTTTTAACCATAGAGACTTTGGTCTTTTGAGGTACCCCATACAGGTACAACCATGCTATTAGAATTCAATTTTATATACAATATAAAAGAAAAGCATTAAAAACATGTTTACATTTTTTATTATATTGTAAATATAACTGAATTTTAAATTATATGATTGTATGTGCATGGGGTAACTCAAAAGCCCGTTTCTATGGTTAAAAGGGAGCTTTTTATGCTGTAGAGAGCAGAGTTACTTTGGCAGATTAGCAAAAGACACTTGACAGGCAGGGCCGGATTTCCCACAAGGCCAACAGAGGCCCGGCCTTGGGGCAGAAGGGAGTAGAGGGGCAGCAGGGGTGTGAAATTCCTATCTCCTAACGCCCGGGACATGCAGTTCCAGGCACCAGGTGGGTAGTGGTTTTCTACATGTAGTCCTGCTTTGGACAAGCAGGGCTAAATGTACAGCAGGGAAGCCGCCGCTTGTTTTGTAGAAATGATCTTGGCAATGTCGCCGAGATCACTTGTATGCAGCCTGCATACAGGGGGGCGCATTGAGGAACCTGGCATTGGGGCAGCAGAGAGAGTAAACCCGGCCCTGCATATGCTTAAACTGTAGTGAAAAAAGTGAAATCACCAGCCTAGCTATGCTGCCTTGCAGGATGACTAAAAACCCAAGACACAACAAAATTACTAAACTAATTGTGGGTAAACCATTTCAGATATATGCATTTTAAGTGTGTATATAGCTGGGAGTAATCTTTCAGGGCCCAGTCACACTTGGGAGTAACATGTGTGTGTTCGTGAAATGCACCTGCTCTATGTGCATGCTGCCATACATTGTGTAGAATGAAATGCATGATGCACTAGTGCACCACAATGCCTATAATAAATCGACTACGTTAACGCAATGCAGGTTAGCGCACAAAGTAAGCAATGCTAAAGTGTAAAACAGCCCATAAGATTAGCTTTAGCCAAAGTTCCTCTATCAAATTTCTATAGCTGCATTGCCATTTAGGACATTTCTCTTTCTGGGACAGCTAGTGAGGGGAGATTTCCCTGACAACGACACATGTCTGCATGTCCAGGAACTCTTCTGTATATAACATTTCAATTCACAGCTACTGTATGCATGAGGGATGCCTATAAACAAATGAGGAGCAGAACACAGTATTGTAGCATGATACGAATAGGGATGGGATCCAGATTCACAGCGAATTTAGGTTTGCAGTTTGGCTAAACTTCTGAATTTCTGGCTGAAAATGTGTGCCTGAGCCCATAATCATTGTATAACATTTGCCCCTGTTAGATGAGTCCCTGACAGCCAATAATATGGAGATGCGCAAGTCAGTCCCCCTCACTCTAAATGCGTGGGCTCCCAGTAGCCATATTGTCAGTGTGTGTTGGAGAAGGTTAAGAAAAGCTAACAAATCTTCGTAGCAAGAGATTCAGCGCTATACAGTGGATTGCAGTGTGGTGAGCTATACTGCATACCCTTGAATTCCCAGCATAAGTAACTCTTCAGATCAGTACCAAGAATTTAGGTCCTGCATTGTATGTGATGTTGTTGGAAAGCCTGTGACTGGAGGAGTGGCAAAGGAGGAATGGTTTTCAAGCAATAATTCAAGTTGGGGAAAGTCAAACAGTCAGGAATAAGCTAAATATTACTACTTATTCTTCTCCCCCTAGACTAAACAAGCACTTACCACTTGCAGAGTGGTGGTGGGGCTCACTGGAAGGGTAATTTAAACCGCTACCCTGAGTGGGGCTTTAAATCTTTAAAAGAAAAATTGACAATGACAGTGCTCAAGCATGCCTGGCATTAATAGGCCTCATTCACATCTTTGCATTTTAGTGTGTGTGTTGCAGTGCAAAATATAAAATGTTTCATAGGCAGCACAGTGCTGTAATGGTTAGTACTTCTGTCTTGCAGCACTGGGCGTCCCTGGTTAAAATCCTGATTAGGACACGATCTGCAAGGAGTTTGCATGCTCTCCCTGTGCTCGAGTGGGTTTCCTCCAGGTGCTGAGTTTTTCTCCCACACTCCAAAGACATGCTGGAATGTTAATTGGCTCCTATCTAAACTGGCCCTATATGTATGCATGTGAGATAGGGACCTTAGATTGTAAGCTCCTTGAGGGCATGGACTGATGTGAATGTGCACTATGGAACGCGCTGTGTAAATTGTCAGTGCTATATAATACCAATAATGCATTAAAAAAAAACACATTTAAACCAATGAGCCTGTTCACATCTATATGCTGTTTCGCATTTTGGAAAACGGGGCAAATGTGTTTTTCTGTGCATTTTCATGACTATAAGTTGACCCATAAGTTGTTAGCAGTCAATAAAATGCAAGGTGACCGTGTTGATTTTTGGTAGTATGATCATCTGAAATCACCTTTTTATACACGTCTGGGTGTATAAGAACAATTTTTCTTGTCTGAGGTCATTATACATGACCCCAAATTGCCCTCATTGCTCTCTATTTGCAGTCACTGGAGGAATCCAGTATCAGTGCCTCTTATGTTGCTTCTGCTCCTCATGGTGAATAAAGACAGCAGCACTTGCTGAGGCAGCTGCAAAAAGAGGTGTAAATGCAGACATCGTGATCAGATTCATCAACACAAGACACAGATAGCTACGAAGAAGATCCTTCTCAAAGTCTAAAATTGGCCCTTTATGTATGCATGTGAGATAGGGACCCTACACTGTAAGCTCCTTGAGGGCAGGGACTATTGTGCATGTGCACTATGTAACCCGCTGTGTAAATTGTTGGCGCTATATAAACACCTGCAATGAATAATGTCACTGCACAACGCTCACTGGCCAAACCACAAAACCCATGACATATAAAAATGCATTTGTTCTGTGTGTAAACTGGATACAGCGTATGGCAAAAAATGGATGGAAGTGGACTTGGCTAAATGTAAACCTAGTCTTAAAGCAGAATTTGTATTAACCCTTGCAGTGAGGCTACCCCCCACTACAGGAGTTAACTGCTGTTTGTGGTCTAGGGATGAAAATAAAGTTACACTCACCCAATCCTCCCAGCTGGCCGGGTGTGACAGTGCTCCCTCCAGCCTGGTCTAAGAGGAAGCCGGTTTGGAGGATCAGGTGAGTATAACTTTTTATTTTCCTCGCTAGACCAAAACGAGCACTTAACACTTGCTGTGCTGGGTAGTCCCATTGCAAGGGTTAATAAAAATGTCCCCAGAGTTCTTCTTTGAGCTGGCATGCAATAGGGATTTCTTCTCGTTTAGCCCCATCCATGCTAAACAGCTAGGATGGGGAAATCCCCCCTGCCAGGCTACTGTATTCTAACAGCAGTGGGTGTGCTGTTGTCAGAATACCCAAACATTGCAAAGAAGTGAAATAAAAGTGCTGAACCCGCATGGATTATCCTACTGGTGTGGCTGGCCACTTTGGATGTAAAAGAGTCCGTATAGGTGATCTGACTAGCGGACAGGTAGCTTCTGCATTCAGATAATCTCCACTTGGTTTGTAATGTCCCATTGCAGGATTGTGAATTAAAGGGCCACACTCTGTTTAAGAGTCCAGATACAGTTTTATTCAATATTGGTTTGGAAGGACAGTATGAAAATAACCTATTTCTATACTATCAACTCAGCCCTACACTGAATAAAGATGTATCTGGATTTGTAAACGGAGTGTGGCCCTCCAGTTCACAATCCTGCAAGAATACCCGAACAGTGACTGCAGCTGATTGGCTGAGAATCTTCAGACTGGCTACTTCGCCAAAAGTCGAAATTGTCCTGAAGGGGACCACACACTACTTGAATTTTGGCCAAGGTAACAGGACTTAGAGCAGTGCAGGGTCAGTTTTACACTTTATCACAAGCTTTTTACAGCTGCCCACTTTTGCTGGACAGCTGTAAATGTAAACAATATAAATAAAGGTATAAGAACTAAAAGGAAAAATGGCAATCAGTTCAGTACATGTATTACCAGATAGAGTCATCAGAATACTGTCTCCTTTCCTGTCTCTTCAGCCTTGATATCTGTCCTATTCACCGAGCTGCCTGCAGTGGTTGTGGAAGTCAGCTCTGTTCTTCCAGCACGTGTTGCAGTGCGGACTTCTTGGGGAGTTTATTTTGTTAGTACATTGATCTTTCAGCATCAGGCATGCAGTGCTCAGTGTCTGGGTAACGTTCCAGCAGCAGTCAGCCTCCCTCCCTTTCCCTCCCAGCTCCTCTTATTGTCTTCCTTTGATGTTCCAGCACTGCTGCTGCTCCTCTGGAGTTGTATGTAGACTTCTCTGCGATCTTCTGAACTCTGCCAAATCTTATGGAGTGTGCCCCCTCCTCTGCCACCTTGCGACACACCCAGCTCTGAAAAGCCAGGCTATATCTGCTCACACACACCCGACTGGACTGCTCTGGCACTGTACCATGGGACCCAAGACTTCTTCTGGCTTCTACCTGAGCAGGACGTCTGCTGCGCTGCTGGCACTGCTCCTGGCTGCGCTGCTCTTGGCACTCATAGTGCTGGGAGCTCTCTATGCCAGGACTGTAGGAAAGGACCAGCACCAGGGGCAGACTGATATGGACACATCCACTGCTAATGTCACCAGCTCTCCCTTCTTCTTCACCATACCTACAGATTCCCCTGGGCCACCTGGCATCTGGGATAACCCAAGGATGCCCCATAACCTGGTGCCAGTGCATTATGACCTGGAGCTATGGCCAAGAATGCTGCCAGATGCTGATGACAACTATCCTATGTCGGGACAGGTGAACATCACCATCAGCTGTGTGGACGGGACAGACATTGTGCTGCTGCATTGCTATAAGCTGAACATCACCCGGGCACTGCTGACTGGGATAGAAAACGGACAGCGCAGCTTTAAGGCTGGACAGACAGACAGCAAATACCCACAAGTGGGGCTGAAAGTCAACGATGCTGGTGGGATAATCAATGAAGACCAGAGCAGATCTCACATCCAAGAGACAGATGACATTTCACTAGAAGGTGGGCAGGAAATTGGCATCAGCAACCTGTGGCATTCAACACGACACCAATACCTGGTGCTGCAGCTGGAGAGGCCACTGGAAGCAGGACGTGTGTACTTGCTGCAGATGGACTACATAGGATTCCTGAGTGATGACTACTCAGGGCTCTTCATATCACACTACAAAGACTTTGATGAGTTCAAGTAAGTGACCCTTTACTAGAACTACTTCTCTCTGTTTGCATTTATCATCAGCTACAATGCCCAGGGAAGCGCAACAGCATAAATGTTCAGTACTTGTTACATTCTTAAAGTGACACTAAACCCAGGAGTTAAAACTTCAAAATGCATTCAAGTATCTTAACTATTAACAAAAATGTAGATTATTTGTGTATCACTCGGCTGTAAATCCTCAAATCATCTCTGAATTCATGCTGACACTCTCCTTCCTTCTGGAGGGTGACTACTTTTGTTCTGTGTGTGTTGTAAAGTAGCCATCACTCCAGGCTCACCCTCATGATGGACTACAATCTCAATACAAATGAGTAAGCTAAACATGAGATTGTAGTCCATCATGGGACTGAGCTTGGAGTGGTGGCTACTTTACAACACACACAGGGAACAAAAGTAGCAACCCCCCCCCAAGGAAGGACAGTGTCAGCATGAATTCAGAGATGATTTGAGGATCTACAGCCGAGTGATAAACAAATAAGATACATTATTGTGAATAGTTAAAGGACTTGAATGTATTTTTAAGATTTAGCTCCTGAGTTTAGTGTCACTTTAACAGGAAATAGAACTGAGCCCTAACTGGGTGATATTGTGCCTTATAAGCAATAGCTATGCTTTGTTCTTCATAAACTACTCTGTTCCCCTTTTTATAACTTTTTTTTTTTTAATTGAAGTGCTACCAATTGCCTGCAGCCCCTTTCAGCCACTTCTTGTCTATATGTTCTCACTCCAGCGTTGGCTGCACATCATTGCTCAGGATCAATTTACTGACAGTGACAACAGTGGAATATGGTTACGCAATGTGTGTCAGAACAGCAGCTTGTTGTCTCAATCAGGGTTGCCTGTGACAGGGTTAAAATGTAGGAACACAATTGGGAGATGTCACCCAAAAACAGGAAGTGTCTGAACAAAGACCTTTATTGCAAGATCACCAGGGATTGTTTGAATAAAAGTTGCAGATTTCAAGAAACTGAAACATCTGTTTAAATTACATTAACATGTTAAAGGTTATGAATTATGAGTTAAAGATTATGTATTTTTAGTGACTGGGTTTATATATACTTAGATATAAGAGTTAAAGGAACAGAAAATCTATAAAATAAATATAGATTTTAGGTGAAACCCAGATAAAATATTTGTAATGCAAATGTAGCACAGGGCCAGCTTGGCATACCAGGAATTCCACAGCAAAGTATCCCGTTAGTCTGCTAAGCAGCCCCATTTACCTCTGTGGTGGCTGCTTCAGGCAGAGTTGGCATCAGTGGAAACAACTAGAGGAAGATATCTTTTCCTGGGTACCTCAATATTGTAGTCAGTGAAAACATTTTATTAGACTGCATCTATCAGAATTGCACATTTTTGGCCCCATAAACTTCTTTTTGTGCACTGTCTTCTCCTCCAGTTACTAGCTTTCGATCAGGAAAAAACAAAAACATTTATGGTTCAATCTATTTTGATTAAAGTTTCAAAATAAAAAAGAAACACAAACAGGTACAAACAAAAACATATACAGGGTTATCCACACAAGAGTGAAGAGTTTGGAGAAGGCAGGAGAAGTGAACAATCTAGGACAACATAGCTGAACCGGAAAGTGATCTGAATTGGAGAATGTTTCCAAATCAGCTATTCTGGCCTACATTGTTCACTTCTCCTGACTTCTACAAACTCTTCACTCTTGTGTGGATAACCCTGTTATAGACTAAAACACTTGAAAAACATGCAGGAAAAACCCCAAATCACCAGAAACTGCTCACATTTTAGTGTGAATGGGGACTTAGTACACTGAGCAGCAATTCCACTTATAGGGTGCTTATAGGGTACTATTTACAAACAAGTGAAAACAGAATTTGGCTTTTTTTTGTTTTCTCCAATTTATGAAGCCACTTAGCTTTATGTTTTCACTGGTATTTCATTTTTTCCAGTTATTATTGTAAAATCCATATTCACCAGGTTTGTAAACAAGAAAAAATATTGTTTTACCGGTTTAATAATGTTTAATAATGATTATTATTGTTGCTATTATTTTAATTATTTATTATTATTAATTATATTTATATATTATTATTTTATAGTATTTTTTTGTGCTTCAGGTCAGTTCATGGTAAGTGACAAGAACACATTTCAAGGGTAATAAGGGTAACACTTATTAACCCTTGCAGTGGATCTACTCCCTGCACTGCAAGGGATCACTGCTTGTTTTTGTCTAGGTGCTAAAAAAAAAAGTTATACTCACCTGAACCCCGGTTCTTAGACTTCCCCTCTGGTACAGTGGTCTAAAGTCCCATAAATCCTCACGGTCTATACACAGTGTATAGATGTGAGGACTCTGAGGAACACTCCAATGCTACAGCGTAGGAGGAGGCAGGCTTTTCATAATTAGGTACCTAAGCCTTTATGTCTAGGTGTTCCTAGCTAGGTGCAAATTGGTCATTACAAAATTAGTAGAACTTATTACCAGTTACAGACTATGCTTTTAAACAAAAATCTCCCGAAAACATCATATGTGCATTTAATGTATTCATTTCATGTTATCTACCTGTAATATACACCCAAAAGCCCTGAGACTGCATCTTGGATGTGATGTCAGCACCCTTAGCAGATTCAGAACTGCAACTCAGATGACATTCTAAAGTATTCTCCTCCACTGACAGCTACATATAAGTTTATGTAGGCTGGTGTAGGGAGGGGTGAAGGAGCTGGGCCAGCAAAGGCAGTAATTAGAGACTCCCAGAAGAGGAGAGGGCGATGGTCCGCAAGGAGGGAGTGAGTTGTGCTAGGGAATTGACTCTTCCAGGAATAGTCACATTTTCTAGCACAGTCAAAGGCATATTGCAAGTGAATAAAAGAACATTCATGGGAAGGAAAACCACTGCAAGTTAGAATGTATAATAATTAGTATTTTCTGTGATTTGTACAAGAGCAGAATTGTGGTTTCTTTACTGAAACATTTACTCGCTAGTAGGGATGTTCAGATACCAGTGCAGATACTTGGCATTTTCATGAGAACTACCAGGGTTGCAGCGGTTGCAGCGGTTGCAGCTGGGACCTGGCTCTGGCGCTCCACCACTGTCCTGAAATCATTAGTCTGTATTGTTTAGGTAAAACTGTCACATGACAATAAACAAAAATGTATCAGTACTTGTATCTGTGAGTACTTGGGCAAGTATAAATACTCGTACTCGCAAAACTGGTATCTGTGCATCCCTTTATTTATATTTATAAAAACAAAATCATACATTGAAACAGAGATGTACAAATCCCAGGAGCTCCGTGTGCTCCTTACAAATGACAGCTGCCTCCTAACTTTGAATTTTTCTCTAGTCTAGTCTTGGAGCTGGAAAAGTATCTTTACTTGTACTTGCACCGAGTACTGTACTTGGTATCTGAACATCCCTACTCACTAGTTCTTAACCATCCACTTTGGTAAAATGCTTTAAAAAGCTACAACATTCATGACAAGCAGTTGATCTCTGGTGGTTGCAAATATCCAGGGTGCTCTGTTCTGCAAATCCCAACTTGCCTTATACACTGAGTGGCCAGATTATTATGACCACCACATCAGTACTTAATTGGGCCGCGAGATGACTCCACGAGATGACTTTGTTGGGCCGCCTCGTGACTCCACGAGATGTTGAAAGGTGATGCGAGGAATCTGACACTGCACTGTTGCCCTTCTGTTGTCTTGTACCAGTCTTGCCACTCTCCGTTCTGCCCTAACATTGACTAGTCGCTGACGGCCACAATTTGCACGTTCAGACCCAGATTTTCGGCTGACAGTCCAGTCTTTAAACACTTTAACAATGAGCCCCTCTTGAACATTTAACGAATTCTGCTGTTTTGCTGATACTCGCTCCATGGCTCGCGCCAACAATCATCCCACGTTCAAAGGCTGTTAAATCGCGTTGTTTACCCAGATCTTCAGAAATAAATCACTTCTACTGTTGTGGTAAACAACCTGCTTCCCTATTTATGATGGTCTGGCCCTCTAGCAACTTCAGCCTGAAATTATAGCTAATTATAGCTAATTTGCCTACAAACGTCAGGTGGTCATAATAATATGGCCACTGAGTGTATATCTTCATTAGCAGGCTAAATCCTCGGAAATTTGGGCAGTGACTCAACCCCTGGTGTCTTATGAACCCCACTATTGGTCTACCAAGTCTTCCACCACATTGGGGGGCCAAGAGCGAGGTAAGGGAGACAGGAACGTGCCTGAACTTAGCTTTCCATGCTAAAGTTGAGATAGGCGTAAAATGAGCACCCAGGATTTGGGGTTCCCAAAGCAGGAAGATGTTTAAATGTTTAAATTAAAATACAGGTGTACATACAGGTGTACATTTCTGCAGGCATTATGATAAATACATAAATATTCTGCAACAACCAATTATTTATGTTAGTATCCCACACATTTATATGATTGCTGTTTAAAATGAACCTGTGCTTTAACCACGCAAGGCAAAGCAACAGGTTCCCCTCCCCAGCTGCATATAGTTATCTTCCTTTATCTCCCCATCTTTTCTGTTTGGCCTGAAGAGGGAAAGCTGACTTAGAACATACACAGCCAAGTTTGCTTTAGACTCCCTTCAGTCCTTGTGGTTGCCAACTAATGGCAAGAGACCAAAAACCAGACTGGCAACATTTGTTGAACGTAGCGTACCAGAAAGCAAGGCATATACATTGTGGTTCTCTGCAGTGCAGGTCCATTGGCACCTTTTGTCTTTGTGTGTTGGGTTGCTGTGCATTACTGTGTGCTGTGTGTTAACATGCATTGTGGATTGTGTGGTGAAATGCAAATGCTACCACACATTACCACAACACATAGGTCTGAAGGGACCCTTAAAATGTATAGCAAATACTTTTGTATTTTCTTTCCAAGTCTAGAGAGGGACTAAACCCCCTGTTAAATTTCTATTGCTGTTTGTGCCCCCCCCCCCCCCCTTGACCTTTAGGAGCTTCCCCCTCTTTATTTGTCA